TTTTTTTTTCAATTTTTGGAATGTTTTTTAGGTCCCCAAATTTTTTCGAAATTTTTTGTCCGCGCGAAAAAATTTTATCGCGATTTTAATGAGCCTTTGATAAGGCTCGATTAAGGCTTAATTGTTTTTTAATGGGAGTTTTTTATCAAATTTATTTCATGGCTCCTAAGTTGTAGCGCACGGATTTGACTTCGGTAAAGTTATTTAAAGCTTCTTTCTGATGTCAAAAACGACCTCCAAAAGTTTTTAAATTTTTTAAATTAATATATTTTATCTTATATAAATTTAATTAATTAGGGGGGGTCGGAAATCGCAATTAAAATCTTAATTTTTTAAAAATATTTAAAAATATACGTGTCGGTCATAGTCACCCTACTTTAAATCCTTGTCCTCCCGAGACGTATATGAGAATGTCCCGGGAAATCCAGCTCCAGCTGTGTTCAAGGTCATCCAAATGTGTAAACAATGACTCATCAGTGTTAAATTTCACAGAAGGGCGAGACAAAGGAAGTAAAACTTAGAAGCTTTTTCTTCAAAATTAACGCATTTCTTTCGTTTTTTTCAGTTTTAACTATTTTTTATGTTTAATTACATTTATATAAAAAATTGCTAGGAACTAAAGCGATTAAGGTAGATCTAGCTGTCCTTTACATCCATAAACGTTATATGTCAGTGGAACAAATGGAGTGAGCTTTGAGTGTTCCACGATTTTTGGAGAGACTCTATACGAGGACTTCTTAAACAAGCCTATATGTATGTTTGTCCAAGAAATTTTTGGATGAAATACAAACCGCACAACTTCAAAATCGCATAAAAATAATCCGCATAAAAAGAGACCTTACAGTATTTCTAAATTTACGAAGTATTTTTGGATTAATGGATATTATAAGCCGATCCATAATTGTGATATTTATACAGTATATCCTACATATTGTACTGTATTTACATTTTCAATTTGATCTTTTGCTACTTTCACTACAGCGCAATGAAATTTAAAAACAATTTATGGTTACAGTATTCTATAATCAAAATATTGAAAAATTAAAGGCTACTATAAGAGAATCCGACTCTGAAAATCAGAGCGGCCCTACATAAAGCAAATTTCGTCGTACAGTATATTTTAGTAGTAAATATTTTTTTAGGCTGAGTAAAAGCCCTATACCTACAGTGTTAAAAACTTCGTGACCTCTGGGAAACTAAAGCTACTTTAACAATGAAGTTTCTTAAGTCCATGAGAAATAATTTAAACTCGACTTATCTTAGGCTAATAAAAGTTAGTTCAGATTATTTTAAAGTTCAATTTTTTATTTTAGCATTTAGTATTTATATTTATCAGTAAATTGCGCTACTTGTTCATATAGAGGCGAGGAGGATATTACGGAATACCATTTACATTTACATTTCCATTTACATAATGGAATACCATTTACATTTCTAAAAATAACTTTACTGGTTTTTAAAAATTCCAAAATCATCATGAGTAAGGATACACCGATAAGCAAAATGGCCGATTACCGATTACCGATTAATCGGCCATGCATTATCGGCCGATACCGATTAATCGGCCGATTAGTGTTAATAATTTATTGCATTAATAGTGTGAGATCCTGGAGTTAATTATACAGTTAATTATAATGTGGAAAAAACCCATTTTTCTCCACCTGGTATTTCCATCTCCCTCGGGTCAGGTAAACAAGAGACGATCGAATATCCTCGCAAAATCAACAATCTCTTCCTTTGTTTCTAAAATAAATCTCAACACTTAATTGTTGACGCATGTTTAAAAAGCTGAAGTGTTTTTGTGTTTAACAGAAACAAAATATATTTCTTTAACCGCTGATATTTGGACAGCAACTACAAACAATTCTCCTTTTTTAAGTGTAACAGCTCACTGGTTGAAGGATGATTTTCAGTAGGAAAGAGCTGTTTTGCAAATTGTTTCCTTTGAAGGTCCCCACACAGCTATACGAATCAGTGAACAGTTAAAAATTGTTCTTAAACAGTATAAGTTGACAAGTGATAAGATATTCTTAGTACTAAGAGATTCTGCAGCAAATCTGGTAGCTGGAATTAGGAATTGCAACTTAGAAGCATTATCATACACTGCAGCTGACACTAAACGAATGCATATTTTTTAAACAAGATGTGAAAACTATAATCACAGTTAATAGAAATATTGTCACACATTTTAATCATTCTGCTGTAGCTGTAATCAAATTAGAAGATTTCAAGAAAAGTTAGGTTTGCAAAAATACACATTAATTCAAGATGTTCCTACTCGCTGGAATTCTATATACTACATGTTGGAACAGCAAAAGGCCCTTGTCACATATACTATAGATAATAAACTTCCTATGTTGAGTCCATATCAGTGGTCTCTCGTTGAAAAAATTGTTCTACTTGTAAAACCATTCAAAGAAATTACTGTGGAAAGCCAGCAAACGAGAAGCCACTTCATCTTCAATAATTCCCACAATAGAGACTCTGAAATTATTCTTATCAAAAGCAAAGATCAGTAGTTCCTTTAGTGGCATTAATACCACAACAGAAGAACTAGAAAATCCAATAAAAAAAGATTTTCAGCATATATAGAAAACAAGTCTTTATGCTTGTCATTTTTATTAGATTCAAAATGAAATTTCAAAAAGAGGATATGCTAGAGGAAATCTCAATAAGAATTAAATTCTGAAGCTTCTACTTCTGGAGGTGATCAAGATGGAGGTGAATTTCTAAGTTTTTCTGATTTATTTGATGAATTAGCTTCTGGTAAACGAAAGAATGAAGAATAGCATGTTTTTAAAAAGAAAGAAAAAAAACGAAAGAGACGAACAAACGTTTCGATCAAGAATTAGAAACATATTTACATTTATCCCTAATTTGAGCAAAATAGCTATGAAATATTTAAGTGCCTCAGCATCTTCCATTGAAAGTGAAAAAATTTTCAGCACTGAAGGTAACATTTATGAGCCGGCAAAAAATAGGTTATGCCCTGAAAATGATGAAATTCTCATGTTTTTGCATTGTAAAAACAAACTGTAAAACCCTTAAATTACAATTTAAGGGTTTTACAGTTTAAATATTAAATTTTTATTTGTTTTATATTTGTTTTGTATTTAAACTTTAAACTTATGAAACAAATAAAAATTTAATTTTTCTTCTTAACCTATTCAATACTTTTTCTTATGTAAAGTTTAAACTTTATATTATACGTTATGTTATACTTATAATATGTATTGATGAAAGGAATAATTTGATTAGTAAAATTTTTTTAATACAGTAGAACCTCGAAAACTCGGCTCTCGATAACCCGGCACTCCTGATAACTCGGCCACACCCTGGCAAGGCAAAAAAATCCTTAGTTAAGTAATTTTCATTATAGACAAGCTTTATAAAAGTATAAAAGCTCTCATGAAGTATTTTTCTGATGTCTGTCTTATCAGATAAATTACGTACACAGTGTATTCATTTATTTTCATTTTCATGTAGTAAAGGCTGTATGCCTTCATAAAGGACGTGCTTTTCCTTTGTTTAAGGGTATTTGGGCAGTTTATTCTCTGTTATATNTTTTGTATTTAAACTTTAAACTTATGAAACAAATAAAAATTTAATTTTTCTTCTTAACCTATTCAATACTTTTTCTTATGTAAAGTTTAAACTTTATATTATACGTTATGTTATACTTATAATATGTATTGATGAAAGGAATAATTTGATTAGTAAAATTTTTTTAATACAGTAGAACCTCGAAAACTCGGCTCTCGATAACCCGGCACTCCTGATAACTCGGCCACACCCTGGCAAGGCAAAAAAATCCTTAGTTAAGTAATTTTCATTATAGACAAGCTTTATAAAAGTATAAAAGTTCTCATAAAGTATTTTTCTGATGTCTGTCTTATCAGATAAATTACTGTACACAGTGTATTCATTAATTTTCATTTTCATGTAGTAAAGGCTGTATGCCTTCATAAAGGACGTGCTTTTCCTTTGTTTAAGGGTATTTGGGCAGTTTATTCTCTGTTATATTCTCAAGTAAACAATACATACAAGTACAGTACAGTATTTTCTGAGGAAAAACGCATACTTATCCTTTTTTAACCCCATTCCCGATAACCCGGCATTTTCACAAACTCGGCCACCCTTCGGTCCACATTAGGCCGAGTTTTCGAGGTTCTACTGTATTCACATTGTCATGTAATAAATAATAAATATGTAACAGAAATTTATTAGTTTTTATTACTAGCATTGTATGTAACATTCTAACAAAAATACCAAAATGTAAAATTGGCCGATTATCGAAACCGATTAATCGGTGGAAATGGCCGATACCGATTAATCGGCTAAGTGGCCGATACGGCCGATTACCGATTACTTACCGATTAATCGGTGCATCCTTAGTCTTATTCACGTAACCTGCCTGAATCATGCTTTACACCTGGCCGAACAAGTTCATTTACATTTTAAAGATGTAAATACCCTCATTTGTTCTGACAAGAAACTACTTGCAAAGACACAATGCGAACTGCTTTGTATCGTGAGCATCTGCCAGATACTCCTTTGCCACCCTCTCCCATAGTCACGATATGGGGCATATGAATCAGAAAGCTCTCAGTGTGGATGTTAAAGAAGCTTTGGAGAATACACATTTAATCGCTTCTCTAGTTTACATCCGCGCCCATTGTTAAATGTTTCGGATATCATTGAAGTATTAGAAGCAAGAGGGTTGTGACTTAAAGAATCTCTAAAAATTTTTCAAACAGTAGAGGATTCTATACAAAACTATCCTGGTTTATGTGAAGGCAAACTTCGCACGAAGCTGGTGGTGCTTTTGGAGAACAGGGGTTTTTCTGTGCTTCGCCAAGTTAATAGCTGTCTTGTTGGAGATCCCTGAGGATGTAGGGCTTGCCAATGTATCTTTGCTGAAATACTATTCTGTGACTACGTTCCAGGCCGAGAGAAGTTTTTCATTGTATAAAAACATTCTCACTGATGGACACAGTCTGACAGAAGAAAATATTATTAGATTTCTTGTATGTGCATGGTCATATTCAGTTTATAATATTGTATACTGCTTCATTAAGAAAAAGATAACTGAAGAAAATTTGATAATTTTATTTTATTTTTATTATTTTTTTGTTCCGAAAATAAATTCGAAAACACGATCTTTTCGATCCGATTTCGGATCTGAAACTCCATTTTTATCGATCCGAAAAATCCGGGTCTTAGTAATGAGGCTTGAGACCACATTTAGCACCAAGAGAAGAGGAAGGTTTTAAGCTTTAAATAAAATAGGACACGTGGTATGTAGACGAACCCTTAGGATTATTTCGAAATTATGATAGTTATTAGATCAATCAATGAAATCGTGCGTGAAGTCAGGTCTTTTACTTACAAATGCCCCTACGACACAGCTAGTCAACTATCAGACAGTATTTAATGCGATAATAAAGAAGTATACTTATTTCTATATTATAAATTCGTCTTTGTTTTAATATTTCAATAATTTGATTTCAATATAATTAGTATAAACAGCAATAAAATAAAATTCCTTTTAAATCAATATATTTTATTTTATGCATTTAAAAACATTTTTCTGCGAAGCAATCCATAAGCTTCATTAAGACAGTCAAAGAGATATGGCACAAAAAAGATTAAGAATCCTTGATTTAAAGAAAGATTCTTATTGAATTGACTTATTAACATTAGACATTGGTCTATTGGAATAGCCAAATGTCCAATTTTCATAAATAAAAAAATTGTTTACATCGAAGCAAATCATCCAGAGTTAAAATTCAACATGGAAATCAATGAAAGAAATATGCAAGAAATAATAGCGAGTGAGTGTAAATCACCGAAAAATTCGTTTAGACATTTCACTAGTAACCATACATTAGATTAAGAATAAAACGCGCATGAATCATGAGTTTTTGCTCATGATTCAAGTGCGGCATTTGTTTAATTAATTAAGATCTATATTAAATCAAAGATTGATGATGTTCTACAAAACATCAATGTATGTATGATATAATTTAACCAAGTCTTTATTAGCGCGTGTTTAAAATAATATGTTATTGAGGAATTGAAATTTCATTCAATCATAAAAATATTTGATCTAATAATACTTAACGTGTAATAATAGTTTATAAAAATATATTGTTTTTTATTTGTGATTAACTTATAAATCAGTAACTGAAATAAGTTCCATCCAGGGATTTGGCCGGTCTTCTTGCATTATTTCAATTGAAAGATGAATGAGATTGATGAGATCTCTTCAAATATTAATCAGACAATTTCAATTTGTAACGAAGGAGAACAGAATGAATATATTCTTAAAACCATGTTAGAATTGTACTATCAAGGTAAAGGCGATGGGACTATTTATAATATGGCAAAAATAGCTTATCGTATTCAGATAAAAGATAGTGATTTGGTGTCTCAAGTTTTAACACTCATCTATAAGAAGGATGGTCATTTTTCGGCTCTCTTTGGTCACACTTTCATTGACCTTAATTTTACTTATCCCTGGTGGACTTGGCGGAGACATGATGAAGAATTAAAACACGGAGAACCAATTCATTATTTTATACAGCACGCTAATAAAGCACATTTAACTTTTGATGGAGTTCGATTCATTGATCTAAATATGCATTTTCCCATCAATCAACCGCCATTCGTATTCTGTTATCTATTTTTAAAGCCAAAGATGTTACTTCTGTTGTGTCGTCATGGCGTATCTATCGAAAATAAGTTGAAATCATGGTCATGCGAAAGCCTTTTATCTGTATGGATTCCAATCGTATTTGAAAAACAAGACAAAATCTTAAATGCCAACAAGAAGGAAGGTAATGACAACATCCTACAAAATGTAATTTCATGCGTGAGAATTCTATTGAGATGTGTTAGTTGTTTGAGAAAAGAATTATCTTTTAACGACCAGATTCACAAGTTGAGTCATTGGTTGCCTACATTGGTTAACAGGCTTTGTCAACCCGCAGAATTGCGACACTTGTGTCGATGTGCCATTCGATCTAGACTCAGAAACAATTGGTTTCTTCCACATGGTATCAAGAAGTTGCCTCTTCCAACTCTTCTTCAAAATTATATTGATCTTCTAGAAGATTGAAAAAGAATTAATTTGACTAAAATTTCATTGATGATTTTAAAAATCATATATTCATCAAAGGAAATATTTTTTAAAAATTATAAAATCTATAGAACTAGTAATAAATCTTAATTACGTACTTGAAATTAAATTATAATAAACATAATTCATAATAATTAATGTAACATACACGTAATTGATTTCGTTAAGAAATGAATGATACTCGTAGAAAATATAAATTTGCATATCCAAAAAATAAAATAAAAATAAAAAAAAGTTCTTTGAGCTAAAACAAATTTTACGCATTAAAATTCTTGAGAGAGTAATTAGTTTTAATAACTAATGTTAGACTTGAAAAAGATTCATGAATTTTACAGTAATTCTAAACGGATTAATACTGTCCATAATTAATCAGGACCAGCTTAACAATTGGTTATACTATGTTTCTTGTCTAGTCTTGGTATAAAGTTCTGAGCACTATGTTGGCCTTTCTTTAATACCAGACTTATTACACTGTGTAATAAGTGTAGTATTAAAGAAAGGCCAACATAGTGCTCAGAACTTTGTAAGTGGTCCGATAACAGTACAGTATAACTAATTATAGCTGCGATTAACTGCGAAACACTTATATTCTCATTTACTTTGTGTCTCGTAAAGATTATCTTAGATGTGTGCCAAAATATTTTTTTTATCCAGTAATCTAATGCAAGAAAATAACCGATAAAGAGATAGTGTGCATAAATATTCCTTTTGCCAAAAGGCATAGAATTGTATTTTAGAAAAATGACTAGATTATTCCGCAGACCACCTGATGCATGCTTGCGGATCACCAGTAAGTCCTTGGACAATACTTTGAGGACCTATGAACTGTAATATTCCAATAGAGTCCATAACAATAGAGTCAACCGATCCCATAACAGCAGTGCGCTTTGATCATCAAAAACATAAAGAATATTTTTGTGATTGAAGTATTTTTATAGTGAATTATCATTATAAAATAGTTCAATCACAAGAATGGCTATGAAAGAAAGTTTTCTTCTATTTTATTATTATTAACTTTTTTTTAACAATTTTCTTATGCGCTGCTATCTTGTCTATTTTTCTAAAGAAAAAATATTTATACGGATCGTAACATTATAAGTAGCATGGTTTAATAAGTAAACTGTTCTCAAACTCCAAGAAAATTAGAAAATTTATCGTTTTGAAAAATGTATACTACTTTTGCTTAACGACTATTTCTCTTATTAAGTAAAGAGATAGGGGATAGATAATTATATTTAAAATATAGTATTTTCTTATTCTTTAAATAACTTTCAGAGTCATTTTAGAAAATTTAATCCTTCTTAATCTTTCCATAATATTTTTATCAACAGTCACTTCGACTTTTTCATTTTCACAGCATAATTTTCTTTACACGTGTAGCGGACGTAAAAGCTGCTTTATCTTTGCTGCAGCCCCCTTGAAGCAAACGTTTAGAAACGGTTCGCTAAACTATAGCGCTTTATTTAGAAACGCTTTGTTGTGTAGCGATCGAGCAGCGCTGCATAAAGAAACGCAAGCTTCCACTAACTGACCAATGATGGCTGCTTCCTGTTTTAACGCATACGTCACTCATCGTTCAGCAGATGTAACTACGTGACAGCTACCGATTAAAACATCTTTGATCAGTTATAACTTTTGACCCTGCTGAACGCACCCATTGGTCCAGATGTCCAGCGCTCAGTGGGTAACCGTCATCTAGGCGACAGAAACTTAAAAATGTTTCACATTTAGAAAGCATACGATTTGGGGATATTATTTGTTTGTAAATACTGGTAAAATATATATAAACACCAGTAATTATTTATTGACATCGTCACAATGCGGGCTGTAAGTTTTAATCATACTTTTAATTTAAAATATATGCTCGCCACCTCAAATTAGTAGTGGCTTGCCGCTGTACATTATACTTTTCCTTTAACAATGGAGTCGTGTCAGTCATCTATTAACTGCTTTCAGGGGAAAGCTTTGAATTGAAATAACTTGACTTCTGGTTTGCATCGAAAGTTCTTATATAGTTAATCGGGACCTCCTGACCCTAAGATTTCCATATCTGATCTTTCATCTATCTTACTCCGTTCTCGAGATTAAGGAAAGACGGAAAGATGATAGTGGAAATTTATAGATCTGCAATTTTTTCAAATTGCAGCCCAATAAATATGGTTAAGACTTACGAGCAGCGCCCGCTCAAGCATTTATGTCGCCCCGGACAAAAAGACAAATTGCCGCCCCTTTAATTTATTTAGAGAGAAACATGTAATATAAAATTAACAATCAAATAGTACAAAACAGTAAAAATTAAAATATACCTGTACCTAGTTAAAAATTGTTAACTAGATGCATTTTTAATGATATTACAAAAATGTATTATTGTACAATTAAACAAAAAACTTATATTCTATAAAAACTAAACACTATTTTGGTACATCAACTGTATCAAAATCAAAAGAAAATTTATCGTTTTGAAAAATGTATACTACTTTTGCTTAAAGACTATTAAGATCTCTTATTAAGTAAAGAGATAGGAGATAGATATATTTAAAATATAGTATTCTCTTATTCTTTAGATAACTTTCAGAGTCATTTTATAAAACTTAATCCTTACTTTTTCTCACTTTTAGTTCTGCAAACTTTTTTATTAACTCTTTTAAGTTTACTTGATCGGCAGTTTCGTGCGCAATCGCCAAAATGGCCAAACTATTAAGATGATTTTGCGTGGTAGTGGAACATAAAAAGTTTTTAATTAATTTTTATTTAGAGAAACTCCTTTCTCCCTCTAGCTACAGTTATTGGTATAATCGGCAGTTATTCTTAAGGTGACACTAAGGTTTGGGACAAAATTTAACATTGTAGCTTATGCTTTCCTTTTTGCCCAAAAGCGCCCGTTTTTTTTATAATTGTTTTCTTCAGAATTAAGGAATGCAAATATTTTCTTAGCTTTTAGGCAAAAATAATAAATACGAAATGTAAATTTCTGTGGCTAAAATTAACATTTTAGCCACAGAAAAAAATCGACAAATATAAATTTCTATTAATTAAGTATTTAACTTATAAATATTTTGTCACGTTCGCAACCAAAATGCCGCCCTTTAGATTTGCCGCCCGGACAAATGTCCGGGTTGTCCGCCCCTAGAGCGGGCCCTGCTTACGAGGTACGAGTTATAACTTACGAACTACAAGTTACGAGTTATTTCCAACTTAGGAAAAGGAAATATTTTCGAATAATATACTGTAGCATCGTTAATTATTTTATGTCAGAACGGTTAACAAAGCACATCAAAGAAAAGCAGCTATTCGGAAACAAATTCTTTCAAAGAACTTTTATACTTCTTTCTTTTAATTTATATTTTATTTAATGTATAATTTAATGTAGTTTTTATTTTATGTAATTGTTATTTCTGTTTTTACATACATTTATTAACTTTGAGAGTAGATATCAACTATCCTTTTCAATTTACTTGTAAAAATAAATAAATAAGATATGCAATATGTATAAATATGTTTGTTACCAGGGTGGTTACCAGGAACTTAATTTTTCTCACTGACACAAAGAAATTAAAATTTATTTATTCAAATGTTGTTTTTAAAATATCTATGATGGCAAATATGGTTTATCAGTCCATCCGCCATACAATCGTCGTACACATGTTAATAAAATATCCTTATTAATTATTAAAATAGTTTTAAGTTTTGAGCTAGCCCTTAGGGTTTTTCTAGACGATGATATAAAAATGGAAACCAATATGTAAGTACAGTAAAAGTATGTGATAGTAAATTTTAACGTTTCCAAATATAAGTTACATAGAGCTCTTAAGACATAAAAAAGTGAAAAGAATCGAATACTAATGAACAATAGACAAAACATAAATTTTTTTGCTTTCTTTATAAAAGTCGCCATTCTTTTCTATTAATCTATTACTCGGTACATTTAAATAATATTTTTAAAGAGACGAATTGAATGAGTTAAGAGAATGATTTGTAATTGGATCCGTTCCTGTATATCATTAGTTTTATTGTTCTATCGAATGATCAGTAAATATTTACCAATTATATTATTTCATTTCTCAGAAATACAGATGGCTTAGCTGAAAAGATGTGAATATTCTTGCTCCAAAATTTCTGAATGCTCTCTAATGGGACGTACTGTACAGTGTAAACACAAATAAGTACAGTACCGTCGGCTTAAAGTATTAAAGTAAGATCATGTGACCTCCGAAATATGGTCGCTAATCCCTTCTTGCCTTGTCCACTCGGGATGGACGTACAGTACATGTGATGAGCGTTGTTTGTTCATATATTGATAAATTTTACGATACCTTTTCAATATGTAATTACTTCTCATATGTATGTCCAATAAAACCAGTTCATCATGATTCTATACAGTGTTGTCAGGTTGCTGAATAGACATCACCTGTAAAGTGTCTGCCTTTTGTTAACAGTTATAATAATGTACTTCAGTGCTTTTATGACATTGTTAATACTTTTCAAATTATATGATTTTCTACATAAGGATATTCTTCTATATAAGAATTATACGATATTCTTCAACATTAATTTTCGTTACCGACTTCTGTATTTTGTAATGAAAACGATTTTTTCCATACGTGAAAGGGATTTGTTTCCTACAACCTGACAGCACTGATTCTGTAGAAAATTTTTGACCGTTCATATATTAGAATACTGACAATGAAAGGTTTCACCAAGTCTCCACATAATATATACCGTGGTATAGAGGAACCTGGGTGTAATATACCGCAGGATTAAATATAGATCCTTATAAATATTTCTTAGAATAATACTACTTTGCGGACTGCTGCTCTAGAAATGCCATTGACACGGCGGTCTAAACGGACTGTTCTACTATCCGGTCTGTCAACGGGAGAAAATCGTGAACGTGGGAGAGTACTCTTTTGAGAGAATCGTGGTAGAGCCAATTGCTTCCTTATCCGGTGTTCTATAAGTGGACTTGACCGTACTTTCTAAACATTTAACACAGGCACATTGAAATTGTCGAGCGAGTTACACGTTTGTATCATTAATGTAAGCAAAGATTAGGTAATATCAATACAGATTTTTAAAATGCATTTTATTCTTGAGTGATTCGATATAAAAATTTTAAACAATTCAAAAGTGAATTGAAATTAAATACTTAAAAAAAGACGTGGTACATTGTTAAGTTGTCTTGTGTTTCAGTTGTCTGGTGTCA